CCTGCAAAACCTCCCCAGGATCTGGGTAGAGGCATCCATGGTCAGTTGGTCTGTCTGGCTACAGGCACAGGCGAGGCAACAAACAGCGCTGGCCCAGATATTGCAGGTCTTCCTGACCATGTTGGCACTCCCTCTAACGCCCGCTGCTGAACTCCCTGGTCTGCACCCCCCTGTCACCTTTGCTCCCCTGTCCACTCTGCCTCTGGATTTTTAAAGCTTGTTCCCTTAGGTCCACTAGGAACTGAGGATTGGGCTGGGGGTGGGGAGATCTCATGAAGCCTTCCCCTTCCTCCAGAGCAGAGAGGCACAGGAGCCTGAAACAGTGGCTTCTGCGTGCCTGAGGGTTCTGGCAGGGTGTCTGTGGGCCACATCCGGCCTCGAGAGGCATCTTGCCCACACCTCTTCTAGGATGTATTCCTAGTTTGCTACCAGTTTTCAATGTGGCCTTGGGCATGTCATTTATCCACTCTTGGCTTCAATCGGTAGCAGCATATTTCTTCAGTGGCAGAGCCAAGAATAGAAGCCAAATCTCAATCCAACATCTTGTCCACTAGCCCAGACTGCCTAGTTCCAGAGCACTTCGTTATAGAGGACTTTTTTGGTACATATTATTGCTTATTCTCTGTGACCCTGGGCAAATTATTTCACTTTGCTATACCTCAGCTTCTCCTTCAGTACAGTGACTCTAATGCAGGAGGAGTAATGGTAGTTCGAATTAGGAGCTTTAATTCAAACTACCTAGCCCATGCCGCGTGCAGCTGCAGGCGGGGAGTTCGAACTACCGGGCATTTAAAAATGGCGGCGCCCAGGAACGTGCAAATAAAGCCTGGGATATTTTAATCCAGGGCTTCATTTGCAAGTTCGAATGACTACATTAGCCACCCTAGTTCGAACTAGGGTGGCTAGTGTAGACAGACCCCCAGCTCCTATTGTCTAGAAACAGTCAGCCAGTAGGAGCAGAGAGATAGGCCTGGGCACTCGGGCAGCACAAGCCTCTCCCCCCTCCCCGAGTTGAGAGCCACATGAAGGAACTGCCTGCATTTTCAAGTGGTCCGGGGCTGCAGGAGGTAGAGAGCCAAGCTTGTTTTGTGGGTGCTGCAGGGCTGCTGGCCTGGAGATGCTTAGGTAAGCACCTCCCAGCCAAAGCCTGCCACCGGCACCCCAGCCCCTCCCCCACCCCCAGGTCACCATTCAGACCCTCTGCACTCCCTTCCCCCAGGTCACAGCTCCCTCCCAGACCCTATACCCTCGCCTACAACTCTCGCACCCATAGTTCCATAGAATCCTCTCCTGCACCCATAGTTCCTCCCTGACCTATGCCCCAAAACCGTGCCCAGGTCACAACCCTCTCCTTCACCCAAATGCCCTCTCAGACCTCACACACTCTCCTGTGCCCTAGTCCCTTATCCTGTGCACCCTTCTGTACCCAAACTCCGTCCTGGACCCCATACCACCCCCACAGAAAAGTGCATCCCTTGGTCACTTTCCAAAATCTTGGAGTTGCTCCCAACCAAAAATTATTGCCCACCCCTGAGCTAGAATCTTGACTTTCAGTCCCCAACCATTATATCCTTTCCCCATACTATCTGTAGAAGCTTCCTATTGCTGGTCTTTCAGTCTGAGTTGCCTACGCAGGCAGACACTAGTGTTTTTAAAATGTTGTATGTGCTATTGTTTTCTTTATAATGGATTGAGTTTCTTTTCCAGACTGGAAAATAACTCCTTGTTCTGTAAAGGTTTGCAGTAAACTAACTCTCCTTTTTCCATTTTAGCCAAATAGTATTTATGGAACTTGCCCTCCGTAGTAAACTAACAGTTGCTCTATCATAAGAGTATTCATCTTCCTGGGAAAAGTTAGGGTTCATTGCCAGGGTCCTTTGGGTAGCACTGGTAAATGATATAGGTAGCTCAAGGGCCTGCTGAGAGTGCAGATGGGGTTCACTTGTAAGCCACAATGATTTGCTGTGGGACGGCTTGAATAATCTGAAAACTCCCATGTCGTGTTCAGGTGGCATCTTTCATCGTTCTCTATTAGCAATCCGCTATGGCAATCATCCCTTATATTGCAGAGCAGTCTCTTACATCAACATGTTTTGAAAGCTCCTTAATGCAATAGTGTGACGTCCCCTCCCCCTTTTGAGTGTGGTGCATTAGTGCTAGAAGGGGAAGAAAGAAAAGTTTTATCTTGAACTGTTCTTTAGACCAGTGTAACTAGTTGGACACATGTTCTAGGACACCTTAGAGCCTGCTGGTCAATGAAAAGGTGAGAATGAAATACTGGCTGTGCCAATAACTAGGAAATGCAGTCTGCAAAGCCATGAAATATGCTGCATGTCCCCATTAAAACTGCATTTGTCAAATAAGCCATTTATAGAGATGACACAGTGTGCTTGTAAAACTGTGTGTTTAAAAAGTTCTTGGCCTGTGAGACACTCATAATTAATGGGTGTCTGGAGTCCACCAAGGACTTTTTCCCAAGCCACTGTCTTAAATATACATGGTATAAGTCAGGCTTGGACAAAACACCTGCCGCAGGCCGGATTCACTCCACCAAGTCACTGGATCTGGTGCATGGACACAGCAGGGAGCCTCAGGCAGGCTCCAATGCTTGCCCCATCCCCGCACGCCCATCAGAAAGGCAGCTGCTGGGCTGTTTGTGTTCCACAGACTATGAGCAGGGGAGAGGGGGCAGTGGTGCTTCATGACTGTTCCCACCTCCAGTACAATCCCATTGGCTGGTTTCTGGCCAATGGGAATTGCCTGTTTCAAGAAGCACTAATCCCCTCCTCTCCCCAGGTGCTTATTCACAGAGCACATGGCCCTGCAGCCTGTGCGGGGGTGGGGCAGACTCCTGCCTGAGAAACTGCTGGCTGGGAGTCTCACAGGTAAGTCTCCTGGCCAGAGCCTGTCTCCAGCACACCAGCCCTTTCCTCCCTCACAGCCCTCTGCCCCACATCCTCACATAACTCTGCCCCCCTCCTGAGCCTGTACACCCTCCCAGGCCCTGCACCCCAATCCATGCCCCAGATCACAGTCTCCTCTGCACTAGGTCACAGCTCAAGCCCCTGCACTGTAATCCCCTGCCCTAGGTTACAACCCAAATTCCTGCACCCCAATTCCCTGCCCTAGGTCACAGCTCAAACCTCTGCATGCCAAGCGTGTGCCCCAGCTCACACCTGCCTCCTTCACCCAAACTCCCTCCCAGACCTCACAGGCCCTCCTCCTGCACCCGAATCCCTCACCCAAAGCTCCCTTCTACACCCGACCACCGTCCCAGACTCTGCATCTCCTCCATTAATATCATGGAAGAATTCAGCCCTTGACTACTTTCCAAATTTTGGAGTGGCCCCCATCAAAAATTATTGCCCACCCCGGTATAAGTGATGGAGTTAAACATTTAAGAATTGTATACGCACCATTTTATATTTTACCTTCACAAAATTTTTCTGTAGTGGCAGGGTAAAAATGTTGTTTTTTGGAGAAATTGTTGAAGAAAAAAGCTAAAAATAAAAGATTTTTATTTTTAAATCTTTCTTGTGTGCATTGAGGCATAGGTACAAAGGAGTATTGGGTAGGGATGTTACATTTTGATTTATCATCTAATCGAATAGTCAATGGAATTTCCATGTCTTGATTAGTCAATGGGGGGACACTCAATATCCTGCGCCTCTGCCTTTTAAATATAGTAAGAGTTGCATGAGGCTCTTAAGCTGGCTCCCACCCTCCGCACCAGCTCCTGCTCCCCCCTGCCTTGTGCCTCTGATACAGGTCTGCTAATGGACCCCAGGAGGACACGGAGTCTGTCAGCAAAGAGGCTGGAATTGATCTGCCTTGGTCTGGTGAACTCCCTCATTCGGGACTGGTCAGGTCCCGAGAGTGCCAGACCAGGGAGGTCTTACCTGTAGTACTTTATAAGAGGTTTCAATCATTCAGCAATTAAAGACCAAACTCTTGCAAGTAACCAGTGAAGCCCATATCTGAATAAATGTAGGAAATTAACCGGCGCCGTCAATACCGTAATTTAGCGAATATACCCCACATCCGAATATACCCCGCAGTTTTTTCTATTTCAGTAAAAAAAAATCTTGTATAACCCACGGGCGTATACAAGACTTTTCTGTGCCAGGGATATATTTGCTAATTTACGGTGCAGGGGGGAATAGCCAGCCACTCACCGCCTTGATTCATGTGCAGCCGCCATCCTCCAGGCTGGGGAGCGCTTATCCCCCGGCTCCTCTGCAGCTGCAGGAAGGGGCGGGGGAGCAGGAACCACCATCTTCAGGGCTGGGGAGCACTCACCGCCTGGTTTTCCAGCTGCAGGAACCACCAGCCTCCAGTGAGTAAAAAAAAAAACCAAAAAACTGCTGGTGAGTTTTAAAAAAACCCTATATACCCCACACCCGGATATACCCAAAATGAATATAACCCACGGGTACATCTCGGATATATTGCAAGTTACACAGTTGTTTTATATGGAAAACCCAAGTCTGCTGTTGTCCATTTTATACTGGAACACACTGAAAGGGTAAGGCTATTGTGTTGGAAACAAATCACTCCATTTTCAGTTGAGCTTAGCAGGTGTACCTTCAATGTGTAGCTAAATGACCTAGGATTTGCCTCTGTGAATGTGCCATAATGCTGCAGCTGTGGTCCATGGAGAGGCTAGAACTGGTTCCCCCTGATTTTAATAAGAGGCATGTTTGGAGGCAGCTTGTTCCCTTGGCTACTGAAGAAACTTTTGCCCCTGAACCATAATAACTAGGCTGTTGGCCTTCACAATGTGCTTTAAAGCCCGGCTTTCTGCCTGGGAAGAAAAGAGACTGATGGCTGATGGAGCTGTCTGTTTTGTTAGAAAAGTCCCATATATTGCGGTGTGCAAGGGTTGGAGTTGTATTGGTGGTTTGCAGGTGACTCATGTTATGTCAGATTGGTTTTTAAATAAGGTGGATTTATTCTTGTGTGTTACAAATCACAATAAAAATCCAATATTTCTCTTTTAGGCATCATACAAATCCAGTGGGCACAGAATGGCGGTGGAAAATGGACCAACCTGAAATGATCTTGCGGGAGGCTATTGAAAACCACCAGAGCTTGATCAAGCAATTTAAAGGTAATTTAAATTTATTTTAATGAATCAAGTAAGTGGAAATCAGAACAGACACTAACTGATAAAGCGTGGATCAAAACAATTCTGCAGCACTAGAAAAGAAACAGGAGACTTGTAAGGACCCTCAAATATACACAGCTGTAACATTCTTATGGCACATTAGTTATTTTTGTTTTTTCCCAGATGATTTGTCTTGTTTACATCATTAAAACTCACAGTCAGCCCCTGCACTGCTTGTTGCTGCCACGAAAGAACTGTAGGTAGCTCCCTATCATATATCATACCAGGGGTAAGATGTACAGTTTATGGACAGAGGTCTCACAATGGGTGCAGACAGACTGAGGGACTGCAGATTTTGACCTTGCTGTATAAAAGAGATCCGTTAGTCTGAGCAAAGGGACTCCACAGCCTAATTGGGATGAGATGCGCAGAGTATTGGCTGCATTCTCTCTCATGTTTATGTATTCTGTTTTTGCACTTCAGGGTCTGATTTCCTTCCCCTCAGGAGTACTCAGCACCCAGAGTACTCAGCAACTAGAGGCAATAGGAGCTGCAGGTGATCAGACCCTCTGGAAATTAGTCCACTTGAAAGCTTCTTGGCTTTATTTCATCTGTGGACTACTCATTAGCCCACATTCCTTTTCAGATACAGGGAATTAATCACCTTGTCTTGGTCAACATTTATGCACAAGAAAAGCCAGCAGATTTGGCAGGGAAACTCTAGAACTATGTTCTTTTTTATTAACCATTTAGATTGTGGAAGTGTCACGAATCCTATGAAGCATCCATAAAATATACAAGATGAGCCTTTGTCTTGGATGTCATTGGGTAATCTATCTGTCCATCTTGTCTGAGCTTGGAGCGTGCCCAATGGATGAAATACATGACAGGCACAAACCTTTTTCAGCAGTATGGGGCGATCCTGTCTAGTTCATTGGTATTCTCTCTTATGTAAACTTACCATGACTTAGGCAGTCAGCCCTGCTTTTCTTTTTCTAAGTTGCTGATTTAAATCCTGTTCTGTTTTGGATGAGGCAGTGTCAAGACTACAGAGTTTTGTCGACAAAAGTGGACTTTTGTCGACAAAACTATACCTGCCGCTGAGTTCTGTCGACATAACGTCGACAGAACTCAGCAGTTTTGTCGATGCTGGTAAACCTCATTTCACGAGGCATAACACCTTCTGTCGACAGAAAGCGTTATTGCATGTAAACTGTCCTTGCGTCTACACTGCCATGTTGACAAAGCAGCTTGCTTTGTCGACAGAACTGAATGTAGTCTAGATGCTCTTTGTCGACAGAAGCTTTGTCGACAGTATCTGTCGACAAAACTTCTGTCGACAAAAGCCTGTAGTCTAGATGTACCCTTAGGCTCTTGATACACTACAATTTCATGGCATGGCTCTAATGGAGAGGGCCAAGGAATCTGGGGCTTTCGTGGGATAAAGGAGCTGGTATTGGTTACTGGAATGAAGTGAAGGGGTGCATTGTTGCTAGAAGGGGTTGGTCTTGCATGCTCCATACCCCTTTGCCCCGGTACAGTTTCCAATCACAGAATTCTCTCTTGTGTAACTCAGGGGTGGGGAACCTTAGGCAGAGGGGCCAGATGTGGTCCCTGGGGCTCAGGGCTCCTCCCCCCAACACTGGGGAGCCTGTGCTGGCGCTCCAGTCCCTGCTGCCCCCTGCCTGCCTGATTTTTCTGTGGGTCAGTGGCCCCTAGCCTGAAAAGGTTCCCCACCCCTGATGTAAATGAGAGCGAGAGAGAGAGGGGTATCAATCTTATTGACTGATTGGCTGCGGAAGGGGTCAAGAGATCATTTATGTGATATTTTTCTAGGTAGTGACTAGTAAACCCCATTGCTCGTTGCATAGCCATACTAAATAAATAACCACCCTGCCCCAGAAAAACAGGTGCTTTTGGTATTGTAGTTCTGGATTTGTAACAACGTGTACCCTGAATTGAATTTGAAAATCTAGGTGCTGTAAGGGGCAGGGAGGAGAAGGTCACTTATTTGGCCAATTTTGGTATGTTTAAACAAGATCCTTAATACAGTACGATAATACTGGTACAGTATGAACATTCGGTTCCCATATACCTGGGCATTGGAGCTCAAGAAGTATGCAAAATATAGTCAAATCTCAAAGAGCTGAGGTGGTGGAAGGCTGAGTTCCTTAGAGCTGAAAGTGAGCTCATCCATGGGGAGTTGAATGTGGTAATTCTGTTTAGTTATTAAGTGTATGAGAGTTCATATGCTTCTTGACATAGACATGTATTCATTGGAAATAACCCCGGGCTAGCATATAATTTACCATAGTCAAAATGATTGCTTATAAAACCTCAAATACCCCGTCATTGTCTAGGTAATAGAAGCCATGCTTGACAATAACTGTTGTAGCAACATTTTGGATAATTTTAAAATATGTTATTAAGACTGTTTCTTAATTCTCTGTGCCTGTAAGTCTGGTGCCCTGATCACTATTATCCAATAGTGTAGGGCTCATAGGGGAAGAGAAATTAAGCTAAATGCCTCCAAGAATAACTTTGAGGCATAGTAATGTCAGGAGTTAAATGTCTGCTATCTCTGCCCCCTTCAGAACTAGAGGAAAGTGCTCTTTGTCCCATTAGAAAGCGGTGATTTTCCGTTCCAGTGGGATACAGTGCCCGTTTCCCGTCCTTCAGGACCTGGGGAGAGTAGACACTTGAGCTTTCACGGGCTCGGGATGAATCTAATTCATTTTAAATGCACTAAACTTCCTGGTTCTGTTCACAGACCAGCTTCTCTATTTAAGGTTGAGGCGGTATCCTCAGAACACCTTTATATATCTTGACATTGCGGCCTCGTGGGTAATTTTCTCTGCCATTTGAGTTGCAGTGTCTAGGCAACATGAGGTGAGTTGAGGACTATAGTTTCAAGTCATAACTCTTTTAATATGCATAGTATATTATTCACATGCATCAAGGCACCGTAGGGCAATATAAAGTGACATCCTCAGGATAGAAATTTGAAATAGTTTGTCTCTTACGTCTAGTGAAATGAGTTCACGTTGGAGATGCAGAAGCTCAGAGAACTGATAATGGATAGGATAGTGTGCTCTTTGTTCCGGATTGCGAGTATAAATCTGGCTCATGTCATTATGGGCTAAACACACTCACATCTGATTTTTTTCATGGGATCACCACACTTGGTAGCTTTATTGTTGCTACATTCTCATTGCAAGTGGCCTTCGCAACTCAGGGACGAAGCAGTGCTTGTGTGTTAATAGGTCTTTTGTCTCCTAGGAAATGTCTTAAACCAGATGGTGTTGGTGACTGATACTGATTTGTCTGTTGTTGCTCTGTTAAATGAAATGCGGGCCTTTGTTTTCATGTGAAATTCACAAGCTACTTTCAGTTCCCATTGAGGAGGAACGTAACGTTTTCATTTCTTCTTAAAAACTGTTTCTGGATCTTGGTTTGTTCCCTTGTTTCCATCCCTTTGCTTTACTGAAGACTTTTATATGGGTGAGGGACTGTTCTCTCTTGTGAGCTAAAATACTGCTTGTGTTCATTGTGTACATTGTAAACGCAGTGAACTGCATTCGCTGTGGGCGCAAAACCACATGGGTGCACTGACTCCAGTGATGCCGTGGTAATTTACACCAGCAGTGGATCTGGCTCGGTAACTTCCATCATCCGTTTTCTTGATCTTGACACAGTGTGAATCTTTAAATGAGTAGAAGTTGATTAAGCAGAGTTGCTTACAAGTTGGTGTTCAGTTATTAGAGGGCAAAATGTTGCTTTTATATTTTCTTTCAGGATTAACTAATATTTTCTTTCCCTGTGATGGTCAGCAAATTTTTGTCTGCGCTTCATCTCTGTTTCCAGTTTCCAATGAATATTCAAGATGCGTACTGCATGCGTAGGGTTTTCATACATTATTCTTGTAAGTCTTTTACTGCAGTCTTTTCCCCCTCCCCTCCTTTTTTCCAGGTGTCCCGGGAGTAAGAGTAGATCGCTTTGAAGAAGGGTTGGTGGTGAAACACTGTGCCCTATCTCTGGTGGGAGAGCCGATTATGTACCCAGAAATCAACACATTCATAAAACTGCTGCACTGTCACAAAATCTCTAGCTTCTTGGTTACAAATGCACAGTTCCCCGTGGAAATTAGGTGAGAATTCTACAAAATGGATTTTAAATGGATTTTGTCTTGTTCCAAAGAGTTGGTGATCTATGATGTGCTTATATTTTATCATAGTGGAAATTGACAATATCAAAGTCTGCATTACAAATAACCATGACAATTATTGCTTGGAATCTGCCTGAGTCATCGCTTTGGGCTTATTCCCGGCCTCTTCCTTCTCGTTTTTACTCTATTGTACATTTATTTGTTTTTCTGTGCAATTACTTGTGAAGTGAAATATAGGCACTTTGCTCAGGACTTTAACTCAAATGGCTGTGTCTACATTGGCACCCCTTTCCGGAAAAGGGATGCTAATGAGACACTTCGGAATTGCAAATGCCGCGGGGGATTTAAATATCCCCCGCGGCATTTGCATTTACATGGCTGCCGCTTTTTTCTGGCTCGGGGTTTTGCCGGAGAAAAGCGCCAGTCTAGACGGGATCTTGCGGAAAATAAACCCTTTTCCGGAAGATCCCTTATTCCTACTTTCAAGGAATGCAAATGCCGCGGGGGATATTTAAATTTTGCAATTCCGAAGTGTCTCATTAGCATCCCTTTTCCGGAAAGGGGTGCCAATGTAGACACAGCCAAATAAGTTAGGGCTAGGGAGGAGGGGTTCAGTATGCAGGCTTCCTCAGGAAAAGAGAACAACTCCAGGCCTCTCTCACCACAGCAGGTTGGGGCCTGTTGAGAAGCGCCTATCCATGGCAGCTGCAGCACAGCTGGGGGAGGGGTGAATGTCCCCCGGCTAGGGGAGACAGACACACACACTTTCTGAAATATATAGTAGATAGCCTGTCCCTTTCTCCATCCCTGCCCCCTGCTGGCCCAATAGGGTTATAGCTGTCCCGGTCCTCATCTCTGATCCCTTGCTGCCCCGTGGTCATTCTACAGTGTAACTCCCTCCGACCACACCCCTCCCTTCCATTTGATGAGAAACACTCAAATTCCAGGCACATCCCATTGTCCTGACACAATCAATCCCTGATCTTGCTTTAAGTTATGATTAGAGGAAGCAGCGTAGCGAATTTGATGGTCCTAACTCTTATCGTTTAGCGGGAGTTCTTCAGGCGGACACATTTCTAAAAGATATAGTAAGATAACCAAAGTTCCATTCCAGAAGGTTCTGGAAATGTATCAAAACTATGGGGATAAAACACATGAAATGCATTCTGTATCTTACTTTTGGGGTTACAACTGAGTGAAGGAAGGGAGTGTTTCTAATAGAGCACAAATCAAAGCTCATGAGTTCTATTCTCAGTTCACTCACTTGTGACAGTGGGCAGTTGGCTCACTTCTTCCCTTGCTATCCCCACCTGCAAAAGATAATTAGTCATTTTTATCAAACCTTACAGAGGGAGCTAGGAAATTTAATATTTGTAAAGTGTTTTCTGATGCTTCAGTTAAAGGTCCTGGGTGAATGCCAAGTATTATTTGTCTGTTTCGAGAATGCTTGTCAACCCCCCCACCCTCCATCCAAAAATGAGTGGTGAAAAATATGGAAAATTTCCCTGCTAATGCTCAGACCCTGTCTTCAGCTGTCACAGCTGGTGTGGGGAGTACTTTGAAAGGCATTAGCTAACCCGAATTCCGCTCTGGTGGAACCTCAGCAATGTCAGTGGAGCTACAGCAGCAGTGTTTTTGGTGTGTTACATCTCCCACAATTTCTAATTCCAGTTGACTAGAACATTCCATTCATTGTAAAATACTTTACACATCAGTAATCTCTGATCTTTGGCTTCCTCTCTGGCTCCCGTTTTTGGTCTGAATTAGGGATGTAAGCGACTAGTTGACTCTCTGATGAGCATAAGCTTATTGGATAGTTGAGTAGTGACTTGACTAGCTGCTTCGCCGGTGCAGGAGAAGGAGCCAGTGCTAGGTGGAGCTGGCTTTGAAGCCGGATCCTCCTAGTACCGTCTCCACGGGGGTAGAGCACAAATCAAAGCTCATGAGTTCTATTCTCAGTTCACTCACTCAATTCCTTGTAACCGTGGGCAGTTGGGGAGGCAGATACTTTGTGGAGGCCCAGGTGTGAGCCAGGAATCAGGGAATTCCTCGCTCGCCCAGTCGCAGGTGCTGCACCTCTCCTTTCTAAATGTATTAAGAGCCTGGTAGCTCTTAATACATTTAAAAAGCAGAGCCTCAGCAGAGTTAGCTCCTGAGGCGGGGGCTTAGCCACGCTCTGGCTCTGCAGTTTTCCCCCTTATTGACTAATTGACTAGTTGATGGAAATTCCATCAACTAGTCAATTAGTTGATTCAACACAATTTAACATCCCTTATCTGAATGTATGTGGGGGAGGGAAACCATACTTTTTTTTGGAGTGAGTAATTAGGTACTCCAAAGCCATTCTAAATGATTGGGTAATTGTGTAATCAAGTTACTTTTCAAACCATGCATTATGTGCCTGAGGGACAGAAACTTCTCTTTCCAAAACTAAACATAGAATTTAAAGAGAACCCACATTATTTTTGACTTATGTTTCTTGGAAACTCTTAATTTTTTTTTTTTGAGTGATAAAATTCTAATAGTGCTCTCTCATCACCACATCTATTTATCCGAAAAAGCAAATCCTAGCCTGGTATCTAATATAGCAGTTGATAAGACTTGCTTTAAGAACATGCAAACCTTGTTAAGATAAGACTATAAGAGAAGGGTAACTGCGTTTGTCTGTTTCAGCAAAAACAAGGAGCTTTTATGGGCTGGAACCCACTTGTTGCATGGGATGAAGTGGGTTCCAGCCCACAAAATCATATGCCCAAATAAATGTAAGGTGGCACAGGACTTGTTGCTTAAGATAAGAGTGCTCTTATTCCTTCTGCTGAGCTTAGATCCTACTGTTTTCTGACATTTTGTCTATACAGCCACTCCCCGACTTAAGACCATCCGTACTTACGACCAATCTCCCATTAACCCCATTATTATATTTTCGGTTGAGAACCATGTACGTCAAGTTTTTTGAACAAGGGTATTTCTGACGTATGACCAAATCGAGTTATGACCAGGTGTTTAGAACGTAACCTGTTCGTAAATTGGGGACTGCCTGTACTGTAAGTCTCTTAAGAATCTGATGCTGGTTGTGTACAAAATCCTTTGCGTGTTTAGCAGATTGTTATTTATATGCAATGTTTTTGAGTTGCTGTAGGTTGTGAGTTTCTAATGTGGTCACTGCTAAATCCATGTCAGAGCCCCATGGAATACACAGCACCTCTCACCTCTTCTCTGTAGAATGACAGGGTGTCTAGGTACTTGTAGACCCAGCTATACCCTTAGTGGATGCTGGGGCACTGGTGCTGTTGAGAAGCGCCTATCCATGGCAGCTGCAGCACAGCTGGGGGAGGGGTGAATGTCCCCCGGCTAGGGGAGACAGACACACACACTTTCTGAAATATATAGTAGATAGCCTGTCCCTTTCTCCATCCCTGCCCCCTGCTGGCCCAATAGGGTTATAGCTGTCCCGGTCCTCATCTCTGATCCCTTGCTGCCCCGTGGTCATTCTACAGTGTAACTCCCTCCGACCACACCCCTCCCTTCCATTTGATGAGAAACACTCAAATTCCAGGCACATCCCATTGTCCTGACACAATCAATCCCTGATCTTGCTTTAAGTTATGATTAGAGGAAGCAGCGTAGCGAATTTGATGGTCCTAACTCTTATCGTTTAGCGGGAGTTCTTCAGGCGGACACATTTCTAAAAGATATAGTAAGATAACCAAAGTTCCATTCCAGAAGGTTCTGGAAATGTATCAAAACTATGGGGATAAAACACATGAAATGCATTCTGTATCTTACTTTTGGGGTTACAACTGAGTGAAGGAAGGGAGTGTTTCTAATAGAGCACAAATCAAAGCTCATGAGTTCTATTCTCAGTTCACTCACTTGTGACAGTGGGCAGTTGGCTCACTTCTTCCCTTGCTATCCCCACCTGCAAAAGATAATTAGTCATTTTTATCAAACCTTACAGAGGGAGCTAGGAAATTTAATATTTGTAAAGTGTTTTCTGATGCTTCAGTTAAAGGTCCTGGGTGAATGCCAAGTATTATTTGTCTGTTTTGAGAATGTTTGTCAACCCCCCCACCCTCCATCCAAAAATGAGTGGTGAAAAATATGGAAAATTTCCCTGCTAATGCTCAGACCCTGTCTTCAGCTGTCACAGCTGGTGTGGGGAGTACTTTGAAAGGCATTAGCTAACCCGAATTCCGCTCTGGTGGAACCTCAGCAATGTCAGTGGAGCTACAGCAGCAGTATTTTTGGTGTGTTACATCTCCCACAATTTCTAATTCCAGTTGACTAGAACATTCCATTCATTGTAAAATACTTTACACATCAGTAATCTCTGATCTTTGGCTTCCTCTCTGGCTCCCGTTTTTGGTCTGAATTAGGGATGTAAGCGACTAGTTGACTCTCTGATGAGCATAAGCTTATTGGATAGTTGAGTAGTGACTTGACTAGCTGCTTCGCCGGTGCAGGAGAAGGAGCCAGTGCTAGGTGGAGCTGGCTTTGAAGCCGGATCCTCCTAGTACCGTCTCCACGGGGGTAGAGCACAAATCAAAGCTCATGAGTTCTATTCTCAGTTCACTCACTCAATTCCTTGTAACCGTGGGCAGTTGGGGAGGCAGATACTTTGTGGAGGCCCAGGTGTGAGCCAGGAATCAGGGAATTCCTCGCTCGCCCAGTCGCAGGTGCTGCACCTCTCCTTTCTAAATGTATTAAGAGCCTGGTAGCTCTTAATACATTTAAAAAGCAGAGCCTCAGCAGAGTTAGCTCCTGAGGCGGGGGCTTAGCCACGCTCTGGCTCTGCAGTTTTCCCCCTTATTGACTAATTGACTAGTTGATGGAAATTCCATCAACTAGTCAATTAGTTGATTCAACACAATTTAACATCCCTTATCTGAATGTATGTGGGGGAGGGAAACCATACTTTTTTTTGGAGTGAGTAATTAGGTACTCCAAAGCCATTCTAAATGATTGGGTAATTGTGTAATCAAGTTACTTTTCAAACCATGCATTATGTGCCTGAGGGACAGAAACTTCTCTTTCCAAAACTAAACATAGAATTTAAAGAGAACCCACATTATTTTTGACTTATGTTTCTTGGAAACTCTTAATTTTTTTTTTTTGAGTGATAAAATTCTAATAGTGCTCTCTCATCACCACATCTATTTATCCGAAAAAGCAAATCCTAGCCTGGTATCTAATATAGCAGTTGATAAGACTTGCTTTAAGAACATGCAAACCTTGTTAAGATAAGACTATAAGAGAAGGGTAACTGCGTTTGTCTGTTTCAGCAAAAACAAGGAGCTTTTATGGGCTGGAACCCACTTGTTGCATGGGATGAAGTGGGTTCCAGCCCACAAAATCATATGCCCAAATAAATGTAAGGTGGCACAGGACTTGTTGCTTAAGATAAGAGTGCTCTTATTCCTTCTGCTGAGCTTAGATCCTACTGTTTTCTGACATTTTGTCTATACAGCCACTCCCCGACTTAAGACCATCCGTACTTACGACCAATCTCCCATTAACCCCATTATTATATTTTCGGTTGAGAACCATGTACGTCAAGTTTTTTGAACAAGGGTATTTCTGACGTATGACCAAATCGAGTTATGACCAGGTGTTTAGAACGTAACCTGTTCGTAAATTGGGGACTGCCTGTACTGTAAGTCTCTTAAGAATCTGATGCTGGTTGTGTACAAAATCCTTTGCGTGTTTAGCAGATTGTTATTTATATGCAATGTTTTTGAGTTGCTGTAGGTTGTGAGTTTCTAATGTGGTCACTGCTAAATCCATGTCAGAGCCCCATGGAATACACAGCACCTCTCACCTCTTCTCTGTAGAATGACAGGGTGTCTAGGTACTTGTAGACCCAGCTATACCCTTAGTGGATGCTGGGGCACTGGTGCTCACCACAAAGTGGAACAGCAGAGTGCAGCAAGTACGTGAAACCTCTGCTCATGATCATTTAACTTTCTATGGTATAACTGGACGAGTTCTGCTGGCTGCCTGCAGCCACAGGGTTTGGAGCATGATTTGATTCCTTTGAGAAGAGAAACTTTTCCATTTGCCATTCCGAAAGTGACCAGCTCAGTCTTCAGTGCTGCTTCTCCTTCTCCTCCTTTTCTTCTTGCAAAAGATTCTGGCTGTTCTCTTTGCAATTCAATATTTCAATCCCTTGTTCCCTGGAGCATTTAGATATTTAGATGTTTGTTGCTTGGACTGTCAACTCAGAGCATGCTCAGTAATAAAACGATTCTTAGTTTTTCACTTAAAATGTTAGATTTGTTTCCCATTTATGATCCGTTCTTGTCTGAATTGGGAGAAGAGGAATATGCTTGGGTACTTCACAAGTTCAGTTCAAGTAATTGGATTTTCTGACCATTGCCACCTCAGTTCTGGTCTCATTCCAGGCAATTCTTGTCACTTTCAGTTTTTACATTTGTGGG